ATATTTGGTTAAAAATAACACAATGGTGCTCTAGGAGGAGATTCAGGTGATAAGGTGGGGGGTTACCTTGGTTGGTTATTGGCTAATGGTTACACAAGCCAAAACAATATTATGACATCATAAAGTGGCCAAAATCTGATCAGCTCATTTTCAGACAGGTTTTTATATAAATGGATCAGGACAAAAAGAGAGAATCTTTTTTCCTGTAACTTTCAGAATCTCTTTACAAAGAGGGGGGACATGTTTATGTATAAAAGACATGAAAAAGTAGATTTTGCATAATAGGTGACCTTTAAGTTATAACGATGAGTCACACGGGGGAAATAGTGGCTGCGGTGTGGCATATTCCAGCAGGAATTGCAGCTGATACATGTCTGGACTCCTTTCCTGCAGGGTGATCCCGGTATTCCTGGAGAAAGAGGGGTTCAAGGCGAGAGGGGGCGCTTAGGAGATCCTGGCCCGCTTGGACCATCCGGACAAAAAGGAGATTCTGGCGCTCCAGGACAATTTGAGAATGCTAACCTCTTGGTAAGATAACTTTGATCAAACACACACTATCTTTACCCGTAGATGATCAAAACCTCCATCAGCCTACTTCCTCCCTGAGCTTGCGAAAGTAGTTCAGTTCTCGTATGGAAGAAATGGTGCCGCTACATATTTTTGCGTGAAACATCAAACAAGGCTTTGTTGGGGAGGTTGCTGTTCTCTTTCTGCTGAGCGCTTCCCACTCCTCATGCAGGCAACAGAAGGTCAGAGAGGGAGAGAGATGGAGACGGAGAGAAAGACAGATATGTGGGCGTGCCTGGAGCTCAGCAGAGCAGTGAAAACACCTCCGTGTGTCACAGACATTTTACACATACTCAACGTAGTCACAACTGTTATATAACAGCAGAGATTGAATCTGTTTGGAATGAAGAAGAAGTCCAAAGCTACTGTTGTTTGCCTATTTTACCCTGAAAAGCTCAAACAGCTTTTGAGAGATATATATTGTCATGTCTTGATAGAAGAGCCATGCAGATGAGATCTGAAGCACAGAGGGCTTTACTACAGAAATGGACACCTGGAAGTCTCTTTATAGAGTCATAATACCTCATTTTATATTCCCAGGCTCAATCCATTTGACTTCTAGCTGGATTTAAGGCGCATATGTGATATTACAATGCAAGAGGGGATTTCACTGAATAGTTAGAAAAGACTATTTTCAGAAGTAATCTCTTCTCCCTGTCGTGGGTTTCAATGTTTGTTTGTTTTTTAGATAGAAGTCAATTTAATTTTCATGCTGCCAGTTAATTTCTGAATGAAATATGTGTGTATTCTTCTCCTTTCCACGCACAGGGTGATCCCGGCTTCATTCAAGAACTCAAAATGCTCATCAGAAACGAAGTATTAAAGGTCTTTGAAGGTACATATGATCCCAAATGAAAACGTTCCATGGTTATTATTCAAGGATTTCTCCGTTTTGAATGTGAGTTGTCTCATTTTGGTACCCTGTAGAGAAGCTATCGAGCTCTGCCATGCCACAGAAGACACATGCGGGGATCCTGGCTTCACAAATCCACGGGCCTCCTGGAGCTCCTGGGAAGGACGGATTGCCCGGAACACCAGGAGAGCCCGGACTTCCTGGTACTCATGGTAAGAGCTCAGGCTGCCAAACTCAACTGCTGGACCTTAACATCAACTCAGAAAAGATAACCACTTTTGTTGAAATGAAAATAACTTGTATCCTTTGATTGCTCTCAACCAGACACTTACAGTAACCCTTTGATATTTTTACCCACAAAACATGTCTATTGGTGTTTCATTCACCAATGAGTCCGCACCACACATATTCAAAGCAAGCAGGAAATATCGAACTGCAACATTATTTTCTGTATATAAAGACTCAGGATGAAGCTGGAATTGGATGGGGGCTACCAATAAAGGTTTGTATTTTGGGGATTCATGAGTATTTTTCTCTTGCTTAGACCCGTTTATCAATGCAGACTGAGGGGCAGGAAGCAGAGGAAAAAGGCCAGGAGTGTGGTGCACAGCGGCTCTCTGGGAAATATGAAGACAAACGAAGAATTGGCTGTGAATAAGAGAAAGCATTATCAATGTGGACAGGACAGAGCCCCAGTATTGATACCTCACTCCGGGGAAGAAAGCCTCTAAAGTAGAAAAGGAGCATAGTCAGGAAAGAGGGTGGACGTTCTTTTATCAGACTGATGACTTTCTGACTGCTGCAACACTAATGGTTTGCTGGTCAGGCTTTATACCTCAAACTCGCTTAGAATAGTATTGTGTCCGCAGCAGAGCGGTGTCTTAACTTTAAAAGGAGTGTGTTACGTTGTTGGTGCAGATCAAAAGCATCACTGCATTGGCCTTTGTTCTTAAGCTATATATCTACCTCACATTAATCAAGACCATTTACACTGTCTTTAACCCACTGCTATGATATAAAATGCTGTTTTCATTTATGAATAATGTAGTTAAAGTAGGCCACTACTGGACTATAAATATGTGTGCTGTGATAATGCCTTTTGCATTACACATGTCTTTGATTTCATTCAGCTTGTTGTCTTTTTTTAAGCTTCCAAAGAGTGTTTTATAGGTGATTCTTAATGCAGCTTTGCAATAAATATGTATTGAAAACAAAGAGGAACGTTTTTTCACTTCCCTTAATTTTTTCTTTGTTGACTTGTGACTCCGCTCAGCTGGGGAGAGAGTTTGGGGTAATATTTCCTCATTATTTCTCGTCATCCTCGGCTGGAGACTGTGCTTCTCTGAAATATCCAACTTGACTTATTCTCCAATATGCCAAAATGAATTGTTTATGGAGAAAAATAACCCCTCTGTTGAGTTCTTTTTTTCTTCGTGGTTTGACTTCACATGGGTGAAAGTCTCAAGCTGTTAAAGAACACCCATAGGGACGCATGCTGATCATTTCTTTTTTTCATCCCATTTCCCTATGTTATAATTGACTGCTCATTTATCATTCTATATTCATGTATTACATTTGAGAGCGTAAGGAGAAATCATGTAAATCCTTTGTATTTAAGTGCATTTCATAAATAATTTTGACTTTAACATTCTTTTTTGTTTTATTTTGTATTCTAGTGCGTTCTGTTTATGTATCAATACTGAAACAAGTGTTTTTGTTATTATATCTGGCTGTAAACTCTGTGTTTTGGCGCTGCGATGCTTTGTCCTGTACAATATGAAAAAATCAGTAAACACCCCGCAGTAATTGGCCTTTGATGGAGCAGCTGCTCAAAGAAAGGTGTTCTTTCTTTCTTTTGTAAAGCCTAGCATGGCAGAATAAATACATGCTGCTGTTAATGCTGTTTACAACAGGTGCAGCACTGCAATCCTATCAATCAAGCATGAAGAACCACTCTCTGGCAATAATATTTTCTATTAGCGCATTTTATCCATTAGTGCCCGAGAAAAAAAATGTTTTCAACCAAGTGTAGACGCAGTATGGAGCTTTCGATTTATCAGAGTGCACCAATCCGGCGTGCCACCCAAACTTATTGCCCTGTGTGCTATTCAGTATTTTTTTTGCTTAAGGTACAGTGCTCTTTTCTTCATGGATCGTCTCCTCCCTGAATGAATGCCCCAGGCCCTGTGAGTGTTGAAAGAAGTCTCATTATTGTGGCAATGTGTGGATAGCCCCCTCTCTCTTTTGAGACTCGGTTTTGGAGCATTCATAAGCCTTTTTTCTGAGATTTTCTCTGACAAGTAAGCGTCGAAGCGTTTCCCCTTTGGGCCAGGCGGTGCGATGCTTGATACTCCTCCTGTCAATGTTTCTGATGCACTCCATGCAACCGCTGGTCCTGAGACTCCATTACTTTAAGTGCCTCGTGGGGAAATATATTTCCCAGCCCCTGAAATTCTTACTTGGTATGCTGCTTGTTTTGTACTGCAAAGACTCAGCAGCTTAGCATGGAGTGAGAAAGCCTTTCAATAACATGTGTGCTCAATGTTCTACACGACACACTTGCTGGCCTTGAAGATGAGTGTTAATGCTTTGATTTGATTTATTTGACTCATCATGTCTTTGACGTTTCAAGCATGTCCTTGTGTTATTTCATCTTGGAGGTAATCATGCAGAATCAAATCAGCATAGCAGAAAGCCTTTTAAAATGAGATAAATTAGCTTTCTCTCTGTGATCAAAAGATTAATGATCATGTTTATCCTCCCGTTAAATTACGTCTATTGTAATGAATAGATAAGATTGTTTTCTGCATCTGTTTGTTTTTAAATGGTACATATGTATTTCTCTGAATGCCTTGAGAGAGCAACATATCTGACCTTTGATTGAAAAAAAAGCTCCTTTCTTCTTCAAAGACTTACGCTCGCGGCCATATTGTTGCCAGAGAGCTGTACACGCCTCTTTTATTGGACGCTAACGTTCAGATGGCTTGTTTGATGATTTCCAATTTGACAGGATATCAGTAGGTCTTTCATTATTCAGAAGGCTGGGATTGAAACTGGGATTCCTACATCAACTATCAAAGCTGCAGGCTTGATGCTGGACATTGCGAAACGTATTGTTCATATTTATATCATCAAGAAGCCACTCTGTAGAAGTCCCTGGGAAGATAGAAAGATTTCAATAAAGGTATCCAATGGGAAAAGTAGTTTTTTTAACATGTTTGGGCATTTGTACTAATCTCACTAACTGTGGTTCCGCGCTCCGTAAACACAACACCGCACACTTGATGTTGGCATCTGTGCTCAGCCCGAATGTTGTGTCTGTCCTCAGGGTACAGGGGGCAGAAAGGAGAGCGGGGTCAGCTTGGTCTGGGGTTACCAGGAGATCCAGGAGCCACGGGGCCACCAGGTAAGAGACATACTTGATCGTAAACTAAACTTGATGTAATCAGTGTATTTTGATCCAAGTGAATGTGTTTTAAGTTATTTTGCTTTGCATTGGAGACTTTTTAACCCACTGCGAATTCATAGAACTTTACGTCAAAGCGGGCCATCAATATGTTTATAATAACAAGGGTTTAAATTAGTGTTTTTCTAGTGAAGGGTGATTCATTTTTGATCAACCAACAGAAACTGGTGAACATAGACAGTCAAAATGCTCCTTAAAAGAGATGTTTCCCTCAGGAGTTGGTGGAGACCAAACATGAGCTAAAAGGAGAGCAAAGTTGCTCTGTATCTTTATATGGCAAGAAAGATCAGAAAGTACTTCCCTGCCCTTCTGGTATGCTTCGATTTTAGCCAATTTTTCACTGAATGACCCCCTGTCTCCTCCACATCTTAGTTTATTACGTTTCCTACCTGTCTACTGAAAAGAAGGACATGAAGTGAAACTCAGTAAACATCAGTTGTGTCAAATCTCAAAGCTCAAATGTATTTCAGCCTTCATGTGGAATCTCAGCATGTTGGAGATAAAAGCAACTCTCAGATATCTTTTGTAAAAGCTCTGACACAAATTGGACCACAACAGAGGACAAAGTGCTGCAGAGATGGAGCAATCACGTCCGTCCTGTACTGTTAAAGCTCAGCCTTATGTGCTGAGCAAAGTTTCTCTTAACACGACCTAAGATGTCGGCTTGTCCCCTGCTCCCGTGAACTAAGAAATAACTCCCTACCCCCCGACGGAGCCATGACTTCAGTCCTTTGACAGCAGGAGTATATCACTGACCCTAAAGTCACTTATACAACTATGTGTGTGCATAATGCATGTGTGGGGCCAAGGATAACAACAATCAGTGGCTCCTCTGGAGAGAACTAATCTAGGCTGTTGAAAGACATTATTTCCAGGGGCGTACAGTGATAGGAAGCACCTTCGGCACAGCTGCTGGGGTTAAACTTCCATTGTGTTCACACCTCGGTAAGAGTCAGAAAGTTTAACAAACTGCTGGTAGGAAAGTACCGGGCCACTGCGTCTGTGTTCCCTGGGCAGTTACTGTAGTCCCTGTACAGCAGAAACATATTTCTACCAACCAAACCTCCCGTCACCCGGTCATCATGATGAGTGACAACTGGTACCCCTCGTCAAATGGAGCAGATTTAACCTACAACCTACAGGTCCATGGAGAAATATGGCGTTTCAGTGGAAAAAATACTGGATATATGCAGGTTGACCACAATGTCCATTTCCTGTCATTGCTTATAACTCTTTTTACCAGATAGACTTTGATGTCATAAATGAACTCTGTGCTATAGATAAATATATAACCAATGTAGGAAGGGAAACATATTGGCGGTTTCTATGACGCCCATGTCTATAATGCATTTAAAACCAACTTATCAAGAGTTAAAACCTGCTTATAGCACTTTTATATTAACCGACTTGTATTTGAATCGCACTCATAAATATTAACTATGCCTTATAACACCAATAATAGCACATTTTAAAGCATTATTTCTTATAAGGACAAGTATCAAAAGTTCATATTTTCTAGTGACTCACATTTTAGATGAATTATGTGTTATTATCTTAACTTCCAATGACCACTAAAAGTGACTTATAATAATAATAATAATATAATAATAACTCTATTAATGATAACATGCATTATACTTAAAACACCCAGTGACCACTTCTAGTTACCTATAATCACATTTCAATGCATTATGACAATGATTCTAAAAAAATATTATAACATATTGGGAACTATTAATAACGCTATGGTTTGTTAAAAAAAAAAAATCTGTTTGTGACAGTTATGAAGCTTTATGATACTTTTAGGTTATATAAAATGCTTTATAATGTTTTATGATTGTTGTTTTAAAGCACTCTAAGTGTTTTTAAGTGTACAGTTAGATCGACTTTAATGCACCATACGTTTTTTTATAATTAAATATCGACATTTGAGATAAGTATTGTGTGCCTTTGCTCTGGTGTTAACAGCACAAAGCAGCACAGTACTGAGGTCAGTTTTGTGTGAGAGCAGTTTAGCAGGAGATGGATGTGTCGGTGATGGAAAGGGCAAGTTGTGTTTCCAGAGGGAGGAAAAAGACGAGGCTGTAACTGCGGTTCCTGCTGAATGAAGAGCAGAGGAGGCACTTTCCCCGCTGTGACTGATGTAATGGACATGGAGGGGTATAAACTTAAAGGGATGTGTCACTAACACAAATATCGTCCCTGGTCCTTGTGTTTGTATGACAATGAAGCTGTGTCACTTCAGCAAGCTGTTGCTTAGTAACATGATACACTAATGTCTCATCTGCAGTGATGACGTCATAGTGGAGAAAGAGGAAATGTACTTTCTTTGTCCTTGATGGCCGTTACGGTGAAACAAATAATTGTGTCATTTTAAATGAAACATATTGCAGGTATTAAACATTGCTGTTGAAGTAAAGTAAAAGGATAATGGTAAAGGAGAATATAGAGAAGGATTAATATCATACCGTATATCAGAATGCTTTTCCAGTATAGATAGGACTAATGTATGCAAAATCACATCCAGTAAATTATGATCTATGTTCACTGCAATTAAAACTTTGTTGTACTACTTCGCTTAACAGTATTGTTCTAGTTTGTTAAATGTTTTTTTTCATTATTATTCTAGATATTTGCCTTATTGAATGGCTTTAATGATACATCTTCTTAAAACTATTGTTTATACACGTTGCATTAGTTACCAAATCTGTTTATCAGCTCAATGGTTTCAACTCGAAGTCAAATTGTCACATTATGATTTCACCTGAAAGTTTGACAATTAAAATTCTATCTTTCAGTAAAGCCTGTTCGATGAGAAGAAATCAACTCATCAGTGCTCTGTGGTTATCAAACAACACATACACCAGTTACGATATTCCTGCAAAGCGCTAATACCAGCAGATATATCAACCTGATTTATTGGGTCTAGCTCTAGCAGAAATATCTGCAGTGGATGTATACTGTGGCCTTCTCGCATTATGAACTATCTCTTTGTATTTCCACACAGTGTGTCACTCCACTGAGCGATGATAAAGTGCAGCCCGGCACAGGAATTAATTATGTCTAATTCTCTGCCCAGGCCCCCCTGTGACCTCTCCTCAGGGCCCTCCTGGCTCTCCGGGGCCCCGTGGACCCCCTGGGAACTGTGACCCAGGTGACTGCCTACTTCCATCCCTGTGAGCCCAGCGGAGCCGATTGGAAAACCAACGTCAAACTCCGGACCTACAACTGACCTCTTTTGTTCACGTTACAAACACGTGGGGATGCATTCAGGATTGTTCTTGTTCTTGTTGGGTTCGTTTTAAATTGGATAGAAAACCTTTGAGGGTTTTTTTTGTTTCTTTCTGCAATCCTGTACTTCTTGTTTTCACATCCCCTACTGTGATGCATTCCTTGTCAACTCTCATTATGTCTTTCAAGACCATGAAATGACTTTGTTTCATCAGTTCTGTCGGAAAAAATGATCTTAATAATTATTTGTTTGCCTCCTTAATGGGCATGCCTTTTCACTCTTCTGTTCTTATTCAGATAAGCCAATGTGCTGGCAGAAGGTACATCTCAAATGTGTGTGTGTGTGTGTGTGTGTGTGTGTGTGTGTGTGTGTGTGTGTGCGTGTGCGTGCAAGCGAGAAAGAGATTAGCTGAATGAATAAACTTGTTTTATGTGGAGGTGTGAGAAAATAACAGATTTGTGAAGCTCCTTATGCAACCAAAGTGCAGCAGATGTGTCGGATATGGAAATTATTTATTTCAAGCGTGTTATTCAAGAATATATTTAAAGAGGGTACTTATTATTGTAGTAAATGTAGCATGGATGTTCAGTAATAGTATTACTAGAAGGAGGATTAATACGTTTCGGATTACTGAGAGTTGCGTTTGATGAAATCATCACTCATGACACATTTGCATTGTGCACGATAATCTTTTTTTTCACTGAATCTGCAGTTTTATAATTGATAAAGACGTCTTCCTATTTTCTGTAGGTTACGCGTCGGTACTGAGCGCCATACCTTTTGCAAAAACCTACAATTCATACTTTTACTGACACTACAGTGTTTGTAAGACACATCCATCCCTCAAGGGCAGATTCAAAGAATGTAATTTTAAATGATTTGTATGAGTGTGACTTCACATTCGCCTTATTGTCTGTTTAATCTGTATATACGTTGAGTGATTGTGGTTTTGATTTTGATTTCTTTCTTCCTTTCTTATGGGGCTTGTGATGGGACCTGGCGACCTTGAGAGCCTTGAAAGGCGCCTATATAAAATAAATGATTTACCTGATCATTTTTACATAAGCAAGTTGTCATTGTAGTGACACATTCAGGTTCTCACTTTGTTATCAATGTGTTTGTCTGAGATGATAATTTAACATTCGCTGTTTACATGGTGTTGTGTATGATGATTCCTCTGGTTTATTTGTATATTTTTGATTTGTTCAACCACTCAAAGGAAGTCGGACGACTACACTACAACTTCAGACTTTTTTTTGGTGAATCATTTACTCATAAATCTACTTGAAGTTTCTCGCTGTTTGTTTTAAAGGGGCCTTATTAAGCTTTGTGCTGTTATCCCCTTCCTGTTATGTGTTATATAGGTGTCTGTGCATGTAAATGGTCAGCAAAGGCTAAAATCCCAAAGTTCATGCCACATGGAGTTTCTTCGCTCCATTGGACTCCTTTGTTTACTTCTGTAACATAATGACATCACGATGTAACACTCGCTCTTCTATTGGCTAGCGCTTCAAGACATTGTACGTGATATACATGTCACAGTGAGATGTTTCCATGCTTGACAATGTCTGAGTAGAGGCACACAATACAAAGTGAACCTGAAAATTAGCATAATAGAGCCCCTTTAAAGACAAAAGTCTACATCCTGGTCTTTCACTCACTGACCACCACTGTGTCACTATAATGTCTGGTTTTGGGGTGTCTTGTGACTGGAGTTTGGATTTATTTATTTACTGTAACATAATGTTGTATTGTTGTTGTAATGTTACTAGAGAAAAGTTTGAGTTCAACCCTACCTAAACAAGCCTTCTGAGTTTTCTTATCCAGAAACTCATTACAACTGCACATTTGCAGACCTTCATCAGGACAAAAGTTAATAAAGCATTCAAACTTTAACATTGAACGTCCTGAAATGTATTTTACATTTTCTCAATCTCTTATTTTGAGTGCTGTTTAATGAGAGTTTGACTCAAAGGCTTTACAAATGTTTAATGTCCTGCTGTGATTTATGTCTGAAAGGTTCTGTGGGTGTATCTGACATTTTGTGACGTTGTAAGAACTCTCTTCTTTCTGCGTTTCATCCTTTAAGATCTGTTTGAGACTTTTAACTTCATTTCCATATCTTAGACCGTCATCAAGCTTCTCTTACACATATGAATTATAACTTGCATCTTCCTCTGAAGCTGCAGAGCATTTTTTAATACTTTTCTCAGCATGCGGGCTTGGTTTTATCCCTGCTAAGTTTTATCAGTGTGAGTTGGTCTAATTGCAGATGGGTAAATCAAATGTGTGGAGCTGACTTCATTTGTGAGTTGAAAGAGCCCCCTGCTGGACATATATTTAATTTTTCATTGCTTGTAATGTGGAAGGACAACATCTATGGGTTCTACCCTACATAAAATCCCCTTCTATTGGCTTCTGTCTTTTCATCATGCTAATTTTTCTTTTTCATATTCTATTCAATGGGTTCCCTTAAAAATAACAACGACCTTGACCAAATTAAATGAGGCAGCAACAGCGGGAATATGTGATCTGGACTGTTTTGGTGTACTGATGAGAGCAACTGAAATATTGAATTTAGCTTGAATTGACATTAATATGCGTCACTTCTCTGGTGTCAATTTAGCTTAACAGGGGAATGATAACTAGGGAGGACACAACATGGCCGCTGTTGTCACTGCCCACTTTGCGAGCAATTTGGAGCCGGCCATTTTAACATTGCTCCGAGTTTAAATCCATTTAGTGGGAGATGTCAGATGAATGCAAATTGGACAAAGTGTTTTTCTGTTAAATCAAATGTGGTAATACATCCAAAAAAAGCTTGTCAAAATTCACTTGAAATAATACATATTTCATTATTGCTTTCTTTTTGTTTAACAGTAATGTAAATTGATCCTGTTGCCACATTTAATCTAATCTTGTAAATAAGCTTGTAATGAGGGGGAATATGGATCAGCCTCTCAGCACGGTCCCTGGGATTAAAAATGTCCGCCTGCTGCTCTCACTGTTGCTCCTCTCCGCTCCTCTATAAGCTCATGTCGTGTTGTGGGACTTTAATGTGTGTTCATTTCGTTGGATATCTACCTCAGTCTTGGTTAACCACATGTCTACATGATTAGCGATGTTGGAGAGAAAGAACATCACAACACAAACTGTTGCCTTTTACTGAAAGAAGCAATTGAACCTCATGTGTGTGTAGAAACAAAGTGGACTTATATATGTGGTGACCAGGTATCAGAGGTTATATTTACACTTTTATTTGCAGCATCCTTTATTTACACTGATTAATGGCACCTGCCTTACCTGTGTGCAATAAATGTTACTCAGTGCTTTATCTCTGGTTTACTTGTGTTATATGTTCGGGCACTACACAGCCTTAGGTAAGAAGATTTCTTATTGTTTCATATAGGGTTATGTTTTGAATATGAAGTTAGATTTGATCATTATTGGTGGTTTAAAGGTCCCCTATTATACTCTTTTTCACCAATGTATTTTAGATCTATATACAAAACATGTCTCTGAAGTGTTTGGCTCGAAATACCAAACAGCTCATGCATTGTAGCATCCCATAAACCCCTCTGTTTCAGTCCTGTTCCAAAAGTGTTTATTATGTGTCTGTAGCTTTAAATTCTAATGAGCTGCTGCTGGCCACGCCCCTTTGTGAAGAGTTTGGTTTAAAATACAATGGAGGTGGTTCAGGTGATAAGGTGGGCGGGTGATACCTTGGTTGGTTATTGGCTAATGGTTACACAACCCATAAAAACATTGTGACATCACAAAGTGGCCAAAATCTGATCAGCTAATTGTCAGACAGGTTTTTATATAGATGGATCAGCACAAAAAGAGAGAGAATCATTTTTCCTGAAATGTTCTGAATCTCTACACAGATGGGACACAATTATGTATTAAATAAATGAAAAAGTGGATTTTGCATAATAGGTGGCCTTTAAGTTCATCATTATATAATGAGGACAAACGTACGACCCAGGTTTCTTTGTCCAAGCATTAACTGTGATTTTTGGCATATCCACTATAAACATTAAAAATTAAGATGCAAGGATAAGATTGAAAGCTTTTTTGATAATAAAAGTAATTATATATGAAAATGGCTTTTGACAAAACAATCTCACCTTGATGACCATAGCTGTTCTGATCTTTTCATCTCATCACATGGTATTCATCAGCAGATGAGGTGTTCACTTTTGTCATGGAAATTTAGATAAAGAGAGATCCCACAAAGGGCCCACAGACAAGGGACATTTGAGCATTTACATTTCTAGAAATTGGCGAACTCCATAAGATGATGTAGATGATGGGATGTGATCTATAACGCCTGTGTTTTTATTTTAAGTTTTGGAAAAAACAATAGAGAACATCGATTTTGCATTTCCTTGGATTTATCACAAAACGTTATATCATCACAAAAGGATACCAGTATACAGAATAAATTAAACACTTCATGTGTTGTCTTCTTTATTTGTAACATTAATGAGGTTCTGCCTCATCCCTACAATATATTTCCATATGCATGACTGCACACATCAAGTTGTTTTGTGGGAAATATAATGAACCACAATTCAAACATTATTTTTTTACAGATTTACAACATTTTCAACAAAGTGAAGTCAGTGTGACTTGATGACATTTTTATCCTCTCTCCTTTTTATTTTGAACAGGGGGGCTGAAGACAGTCAGACAGGTCGACATTATATTTAAAAAGGGGTTTCATCAGGTGTATCTTTGGCACATTAGCATATACAGAACTACATGTTGAAAAGGCACTTAATGCAAACAAGCTGTGGGTGGTTGTTTGAAGTGTTCTGTGAAAGTGGAGGGGCTTTTATTTAAGAGAACTGTGAAACAATTACAAAGAGGCACAAGGAGAGCCGGATAAATAAACAGTTCTATTCATTTCATATCTTCTCAGAAATGTGAGAACACTTTCCTGAAAATAGTCCAGCACAAGCTGTTATTGCGGCACATAAAAAACAATTATTGAAAGGTTTTTATGAAGAGGCTGGCTCATTGTGATGGAGACGCCACAATACATGCTCACAGACTAGAGGTTAAGTGATGGAAGGCACCACACAAACCGCAGGCCCTGGGAAGAACGTGTGAAAAATGTTGTGTGCTCAGGAGAGCTGATCCATCAGTCTTTCTGTGTCTGCCACAGTGGCTCTTTAGTTTCCTGCAGGGCCCTTCACATCCACAAGCTGGGCTCCTGGCTGGAGGTTGCAGGATGACGGGTCGCAGTAACCGTTAGGACCGGCTGACCCGGGAGGCCCAGGAACGCCGGGCTGTCCATGGATCCCAGGAGGTCCTCTCTGCCCGTCCCGACCGTCCTGACCGTAGCCAGATTTGCCAGGCTCACCTATGGACACAAACATCATTTTAAGGCCAGGTTCCCACAGTCAAAGGCCCCCATATTCTACAGTATGGAAGCCCATAGGGGATTTTTCTTTCTATTTCTATTCAAATAGAATTTGAGAATAAAAAAATCATTTAGGAACGGCATTGTAACTTGTTCCCATATGTATGCTTTTTTTGAGTAAATGCAATAATCCAAATCTTATTTATGAATTCCTTTGCATACTCCTATGGCCGTTCTTGGACAATATTACATTCTAAATAAATAAAGCTCTTTGATATTTTATTTAAAAACTACTATACTGTGAAACTGTTGATTTCAATGTCTCAAATACGTAACGTAAACAATGTAATCCAATTTTGCATTTATGCAAATCCCCTATGGGCTTCCATGATATACATTCTCAGAGTTTGTGGTTGTCATTTCCTGTTGTTAACACCACCTGAACTTAAGTCGATAAGGGGGACAAATTGACCTTCAGAAATGATATTGTCGTATATAGCTTTAACATTTTAAAGGCCAAACTGTACTCACCAGGGAGTCCGGAAGCTCCTGGCTGACCTTTAGGCCCTCGAGCAGTGGGCCCTCTGGAGCCTCTGTCTCCCAATTCACCTGGAACACACATTTTGTTATAAAGATATCTGTATACTGTACTTCAAACACGTCATAAAGTTATGTCATGTATAAGTCTCTGGCTTCATCCTGAACTGTAACACCTGCCAATTCATTCTTTACCTTTGGGTCCTTTGACTCCAAGCATTCCTTGTGGCCCTTTGAGTCCTGGAAGGCCTCTTGTTCCGCCCTGTCCCGGGAATCCATTGTCTCCTTGAGAGCCAGCGGCTCCTGGAGGACCAGGTTTTCCAGGTAAACCAACTGCGCCCGACTCTGGCCTTCTTAAACTAGCTGCTAACTGTGCCAGCTGTTCTGTGGGAGTAAAACAGAAAGAAGATGATGAACCTGATGAACTTTAATACATTGAATGTAATTTAACAGATGCATAACCGGCAGCAAGACAGTAAATGTTTCTCAACAGCTGAAGCTGACTGTTATCCAGAGACTTTTGAATACACAACACCTTGTTATGAATCGTGAGGTAGCACATTTTTGAAAGCCCCAGAGCCCCCTGGTAAAAGAGACGGTCCAACAGCTCCTGTACCTGAAGCTGAGTGAAGCAGAGCAAGGTGAAACCGTGGTCACCATATCCCCCGAGCTCCTGCTGTTTTTCAACTTTTTCTATAGAGCCTCGGTAAATCGAGCAGAAAGGGTGTAAGACTCTTTATTGCAGGCAATCAGCAACAGGAAATGTGCACTCATGGTGCAAAGGATCTAATATTAATCTCCAGTGGCTCCTGCAGCATGCTATTCTGCACTCCAGATTCCAGTTTTCCGGCTCCTGATGAAAATTCATGCAGCCGCTGTTTGACTGCTCCTTTTTTTATTAATTTTGTTAAAGATATATCCTTTCCAGGCAGACTCTTTGCATGGAGCGGTGGAGAGCAGGTCTGCTGGAGGTGAAATAAATTTTTCAGCACTTGGGGGTATAAAAAAATCATGAGTGTAGGAGATGAGTTGGTGAGACGCAGGAGCTTTAGAATGAAGAGGACAGAGGTTGTGACTTCAGAGAAACATTTCCTATCAAATAGACAAAGACTGAAGCTCATTTCATGTTTTGGTTATTAGGTCGTCCCTTTTTTGAACTCAAGAGTATTCAGCAGCCGCCCAGATCAATGACACCACGGAGGGGCGGCTCCTTGTGTGGTTGTGTAATGAGGCATTCTGGGAAAGATTAAAGTCATGAAATGAGGCACGAGGGACTGATGAATGGGTTCAAAGGCCTATCAGTTCTTACCTTGCATGACGCGCATGCAAACTTGTTTGATGTGCTGATCGCTCGGCTCTTTACCCTGAAAGGAAAAGGATGATTTAATAGATTTCATAACAGTAGATAAAACATTCATGACAAGACTACATGCCCCTGTTTTTACTGACTTGGTCTTCTATTCCTGGAGAACATGTTACCATTCTTTGACTTATAAAACCTGTTTAATTCAATATTTTTAAAGCATCGTGTGTGTGTAGTTTATATATCCCCTGCTGATGCTCAATATTGAGCTTTAGTGGTTACATTTTCTTTTGCACAAGTTGAAATTAGAAGAACGACATCAGAGTATACAGATAACATATGCAGATGGGAGTTCTCAGCCCAGAGGGACTTATTAATGGCTTCCACCTTTTCTTTGCTTTGCTTTTTTATGTTCAGAATGGATAAATACTCCCAAAATCTAGTACCTCGTAAAATACATGTGGGGAATTAGATGACAGTGTGGTAATGGGGGTGCCTGTAAATTAGACTGAAACCTCTGAAGCTCTTTGAAATTCAAACACTGTTTACATGAAAAGATTAAATAATTGTATTTGTAAGTCTTCATGTTAAAGCACAACTTGTTGGGAGCTTGGTTCTGTCACACTGCTTCCAAAGACTTTGGAAGAATCCTTGTAAACATGTTCTAAAAAAGGTTTTCTTTGATTTACCGCAGGACCCTGGGACCCTCTCACTCCAGGGGGGCCCCTGTTCCCCTGCATGCCCCTCGGTCCAGGTGTGCCAGCCGGCCCATCGATGCCAGGCTGTCCTCTGCTTCCCTCTGGTCCTCTTTTGCCAGCATCGCCTATGTTACCGGTCTAAACAGAGATAGAAGAATTAGACCAGGAAATGTTTACAAACTGCAGCACGTCCTCAATCATCAGGAAAACACTGATAGATATAATCATTCTGAACTCACCTCTCCTTTAGCTCCACCTTCTCCACCCTCACCCTTGGAGGAAAAAAAAATAAAATAAAAAAAAAATCTCTTCTGAACAGCATTGTTGAATAATTAATAATGTTGGTGTCACAACTTACGAGCTCCCCTTTGTCTCCAGGGTTTCCCTCATCACCTTGTGATCCCTATAAAAACACAGT